AATCCATTCACCTCAGCCTCCCAAAGGCGTGGGATTACAGGCTGAGTCACTGAGCCCGGATTTTTAAAAAAATCTATTGTCTATCCCCATTATTCCTCCAAGGAGTGGAGAAGAACAAAGAAGAGGAGGTTGGAGGGACTATCCCTTTATGGGCCTGGTTTGACGGGAAGGATTCTAATTCCTAAAGCTTGTGGTGGCATTTATGATAAAAGATGAATCACCAGACAAGTAACTGTATTCTCAGTTGGTGAGATCAGAAGCAGAATCAGTCGTATGACTTGTGTGGGATGTGCATCTGGTAGCGCCAGTGTCCCTAGATCCCACCAGGCCATGGTGGCCTGGCCGCCGAGCATACCCTGCTGGCCACCAAGGCAAGGACACAGCTGGCCCTTCATGGACTCCCTGCTACTACAAGGCAGCCACGACGCAGGTATGAGGCTCTGCACCTCCTCTCCAAGATGGAGCAGTGCCCACCCTGGGCTGCAGTTGCCCCTCAGGGCACACACAGGAGGGGCCACCCTCCATGGGGGCTGGCTGTGCTGCTCATCTGGGAGAGTGTCCAGGTACCAACCAGCACTCTGCTGGGCTCAGCTGTCTCTGCTGGTGTCCCCTAAACCTAACAGGAGACAGGCACGTGGCAGTGTGAGGCAAAACTGCCCTCTCCCTTTGCTTGACATTCCTGTAAAGGGATTCCACCATGGAGCTGCTCAGGACCTGGAGCGCTGGCCAGTCTGGGGAGCCACCTTTCCAGGTTCTGATGAAGCCGCTTCTTCCCCGAGGACCCAGAAATGCCAGGCCAGCCTGTGGCTGCCCTCCAACAACTGAGCTCTATGATCAGACCAACTTGGTGCCCCATTCTCTCAGAAGCTCTCTCTTGTGGGGCCTCCGCCAGGTCACCATGAGGTGGAAGGCTACAGCAGTGGACATGGCCTGGATCCTGCCCACACCCCAGGTGAACTGGACCGTAAGGATGGCTGGTATACATTGGGCTTCGTGGTAAATGCCAAATAACACTTAATGACCTGTGCTGTGTCACAAGCTAGCCTGAGCTCGGAAGTCGATGTTGAGGTCAAATGCCAAGAAGCCAGCCCTACAAGGGGTGGAGGATGCCGCAGGAAGGGGCACCCCAAGGACAGAGCTGGGATGCCCAGCTCAGAAGGGAGGACAGCGTTACTGTGGGAAAGGAGCCATCAGAGAACTGAGTGGGATGGACGCTGCCGCTTTGTAATTTAATCATAATGGTCCTCATAACTGGCATTTATAGCAGCACGTGATCCATGTGCCAGGTTCCCTGCAAGTGCTTTCAGGTGAACTGAGAGGAAAGAGGATTGCTATTATTATTATTATTTGTTTGCGATAGAGTTTCACTCTGTCGCCCGGGCTGGAGTGCCAGTGGTGCGGATCATAGCCTCCTGCAGTCTCGAGCTCCAGGACTCAAGCAATTCTCCCACTCCAGTTTCCCGAGGGAGAGGATGAAGTGGGATGCTATACATCAAATACCGAACACAACAAGCGCTTGCTGTGTTAACCCTCCAACGGCCTATGAGCCCCACAGATGGGGAAACTGAGGCACCGAGGGGGGCAGGGTGGGGACGCGGGCTCTGGTGGCCTCTTTCTCCATCATTAGTGACTGAGAACCGGTCGCAGCCGCGGTGTCAGCCGCAGTGGTCACTTAGCCCGCAGAAACCCCGAGGCGAAGGGCTGGCGACCTGCGCTTTGCACCCGAGCAGCCTGAAGCTCGACTGAGTGACCCGCCTCGTGTCCTCTGGGCCACTCCGGGGCCGGCCCCAGCTCTGCTTGGCCGTGGACATTGTCCGAGGTGCTGGGCGCCCGGGGCTGGGGACCCGCGCCCGTCAAGCCCCCTCGGCTGTCCGGGCCCGGCCTGCGGTCCGAGGGTCCGGGGAGACCTGGATGCGTACCCTCGCCCGGCCGGAATCGGGGACCCGTCCGCGCCGCAAGCCCAGCGCGCAGCAGCAGGAGGCGCCTCCCCGGGGGCCGCGGGCGCAGCGACCTGGCCCCGAGCCTGGTCCACTGGGGGGCGGTACGCGGCGGGGAATTCCGGCCACGCCTGAGCGGACAGCGGCGCCGGCGGAGGCGGACCGAGCGCCCCGTGACCCGAGGAGC